ATTTATTTTACTACCGGTTCTGTGGGCGTGGCAGGGGGAGGATACTGCAAAATCTCCATTCCCACGAGTGGTGGGTTGCCCCCGGTTTGGACCGGTTCGCAAGAACCGGTAGTAAAACCGGTGGGAGGCTCTGCCCATCGACCCGATGTTATCAAGAAGCTTCTGCACATGCGCAGAAGCGTGCACGCGCGCGTGGTCCTGTTGCAAACCAGTAGTAAAGGTAAGTAGAACCCACCTGATTCCCATCCCATTCCAGGGGAAGGATACTGCAAAATCTCCATTCCTTCCCCACTCCTGGTGGAAAGATATTGCAAAATCCCCATTCCCTCCCCACTTTGGGACCGACCAGAGGTATTTGCCGGTTTTCCGAACTGCTCAAAATTTCCGCTACCGGTTCTCCGGAACCTGACAGAACCTGCTGGATTTCACCCCTGATTTTAGCCTTAGATAAAAGAAATGACACTATTACACCCATTTAAGGACCTGCCAAACCCAGGCAGTGTTCAAATCCCTTTCTTGTAGAGCAGGGGTGTCAAACTAACGTCATCATGGTGTCGCCTTGTGATGTAGCACAACTTTTCCCCCCTTTGCTAAACCGGGCGTGGCCTGCGCGTGACGCATCCGGCCCACGGGCTGCGAGCTTGACACCCCTGTTGTAGAGTATTTGTCCACTGCAGGCCCCCCCTACTCAAATTGGTCTTTCCTTTTGTGGTCTTGAACTTCTCTCCTGCCCCCTTCCTCTCTCTCATAATCTCCCTCCACCTCGCTGCTATTTCAAGGAGAGCAGCTCAGGAAATTCCAACCCAGTTCCTGGAGAACTTGCTCTCCCTTCCCGCCTTCCCTCCCAAAGCAGGAAAGGGCCAAAGTCTTTAATTTTTATTAATGGCGATTGCGGTTCAATTAGTCCACAGCACTTTTTGGTGTTCTGTGTCATTAAACCTGTCAGAAAATCATCTCTCCTTTGCTTCACACAGACCCTTGTTTGAAGCCCTGCGTCGGAAAATGTTGTTTGAGGGGAAACCGGTGTTTCTGAAAAGGCTTTTAATTTTACACAAGTGGGCCCTTTAGCTCGTCTTACGAAGCATCACAAACCATCAAGATTCCTCATAAGCACTTGACCAAACAAACTTCCATTGACATTTCAAGAAGCCCCACATGGAAGAGTTACTGCCTCTGGCCGGACTCCAAGCCAGAGAATCCTGCCTCTGACATCTCCATTTTTTAAAGCCGCCAAACGCAGCGGGGGATTTTCTTCACACCCTTCCTTTGAGCCAAAGGTTTTCAAAGGCAGCAGAGTGAGCTCTGAGTTTTGGAAGGGGAGAAGCTTTCAAGGGCCAGATCTCAAAGAAATCTTCCGAAGCAGAGAAAAACAGGGTCACGGAGACGATGGCATCCTTTGTTTAGCATCTCTTACCTTTCCTTGACTGCTTTCATTCTCCGATCAAGGCGGATGCCTGCATTAAGGATGCGTTTTGGAGACGAGCAATGGTGAAATCCAAATATTTTTACCACCGGTTCTGTGGGCGTGGCTTGGTGGGCGTGGCAGGGGAAGGATCCTGCAAAAGCTCCATTCCCACCCCACTCCAGGGGAAGGATACTGTAAAATCTCCATTCCCACCCCACTCTGAGGCCAGACAGAGGTGGTATTTGCCGGTTCTCCAAACTACTCAAAATTTCCGCTACTGGTTCTCCGAACTGCTCAAAATTTCCGCTACCGGTTCTCCAGAACCTGCTGGATTTCACCCCTGGAGACAAGGCTATCAAGGTATCTGTGCTATTGCCTCATTTAAAACTAATGGCTTGGTTCAAAGTTTCGAATAAAAAAGAATCCCCAGCGAAGGGACCAGTGGTGGGTTGCTCCCGGTTCTGTCCGGTTCTTATGAACTGGTAGTAAAAGCAGTGGGAGGCTCCGCCCAACTGCCCGGATGTCATAATGGATTATCTGCACGCGCTGCCATTGCGAATCGGTAGTAAAGGTAAGTAGAACCCACCCCTGGAAGGGAACGCAGGGCAGAAAACATCCTGCAGCCAAGAAGGCTCCACACCCATTTGCACTACTCAGGTGACCCTGAGGACACAGATAAGCCTCCAAGTGGCCTCAAGGACTCTCGGAAAGAATACAAATGACCCAGCTGTCTGCAAGGAGTATAAGTCCTCCCTTTCCTGACCATCCAGTCAGAGCTGAAGAAGCTTCTTGGGATGAGAAGTGAAACATCTCCAAAGAAAAACAAGAAAGTCCAGTTGCCCCTTGAAAAAAGCACCTTTGGGAGAACCACGACCTGGATGACTGAGAATCTCCATAGATGATAAGGAGAATATTTGTAGCTTGGTATTGAAATGAAGGCTCCTGGATGCTGGATCACTGATGATGTTATTACCTGGTTTGAGTAATAAAAGGTCTGCAAGAAAACAACCCAGCTCAGAGAGCATCGAGGACCCCTTGAATCAAAGTTGCTTTTACAAGCTTCCTTTCTTGCCACATCTTCCAGAGTTTTGCTGTCTTCGCACTCAAGAAGTATCCCAACTGCTCGCGGCTTTGCCCAAACAGGTGCTTCCCAGATGTTCTTGGCTCCCGTTCCTATAATCATCCGACTGGGTGTGCCAGGGATATGTTGATTGAGATATAATGGGAGTTATGGTCCATTGCAACTGGAGGGGAGGGAGGGAGAGAAATGTGCTGAAACGATGAGCTTCTATTCATCCTTTGAGTGCCTTTCTGCAAAGAAAGGCGAGAGATGGGTGGGTCCTTGAATCTTCAGAAGATACATAAAAAGAGAAGTTTGGTGGGCAGGAGAGGGCAGATGCCCCTGTTTTGATTCTACTCCCTTGCTTGCCCTCTTGATGGGAGTGATCTGGCGATTGGTATGAAACAGGGGTGGGTTCTACTTACCTTTACTACAGGTTTGCAACAAGATTGCATGCGCAGATCGCTGATGATGACATCCGTGGTGGTAGGCGGGGCTTCCCTCCGGTTTTACTACCACTTCTTGTGAACTGGTCCGAACCAGGGGCAACCCACCACTGGTATGAAATGAGCAAAGCAACACAGGAGTTCCCAGAACTCTCAGAAGTTCTTCTAAGCCTTATTGATCTTTATTTTTTGCATCAGAGAAGCTCTCTTCCATATTGAAATTTCAAGACGAAAAAGAATCGGGAAGTTGGGTATTTCCATGTGCTTTCAGCATTTCCACAAGTGCTTATGAGTTCCATAAGGGCTCATGGTCACTCACGCCTTAATCACCCCTTGCTTGGACTACTGCAATGGGATTTCCATGGAGCTGCCACTGAAGAGCATCTGGAAGCTGCAGCTGGTTCAAAACACAGCACGATTTTGGTACTGCGTGAGACTTCCCAGTGGTGTTCCAAGTGCAATTGAAAGTGCTGGTTGTGATCTTTAATATGCTGCATGGAATGGAATTGGGTTATTTGTGGGGTTTCCTACTCTCAATGGCTTCTGCCTATCCTACCAGATCTAGCAGAGGAGACATGCTTGGAGGTCTATCTTCTCTGTCATGGTGCTAGCATTATGGAACAGCTTCCCCGGCCCTGATCCTATTGGCCTTCAGGAAAACAGTGAAAATCTGGCTTTTCCCCCCGGGCACTGAGGCCAAGAGGTTGATGGATCTGGCATGGGATAGTTGGTGGATAAGCAGAAGTTTTATAGGGGCCTCAGCCTTGTTTACTGGTTGAAATGGTCTTTTTGCTGTGTGTGTTTTTATTTTGTAGATGAGATGGATGGATGGATCCCATTAAAGTTTTCAGAAAATCATAACATCATAGGGGTAGAAGCAGGGGTGAAATCCAGCAGGTTCTGGAAAACCGGTAGCGGAAATTTTGAGCAGTTCGGAGAACTGGCAAATGCCACCCCTGGCTGGGCCCCAGAGTGGGGTGGGAATGGGGATTTTCACCAGTATCCTTCCCCCAGGAGTGGGGAGGGAATGGGGATTTTGCAGTATCTTTCTCCTGGAGTGGGGTGGGAATGGGGATTTTGCAGTATACTTCCCCTGGAGTGGGGTGGGAATGGAGATTTTGCAGTATCCTTCCCCTGCCATGCCCACCAAGCCACGCCCACAGAACCGGTAGTAAAAAAATTTGGATTTCACCACTGGGTAGAAGAGACCTTTGTGGTTCTCATCCAAACCCCTGCTTAGGCTCTTCCACTAGTTCTTCTACTGTTTAATAGCTCATGTAATCAAGAAATGTCTTCTTATAAATTTGGATCTCCTTCTGTAAAGCTTCCGCTCATTGATAGCAAGATAATTTACTGTAGCCCAGCCCTGATTTTGAAAGTGTGTCCAGAAAGCAAGAAGAAAGTTGAGATAGTAGAAGATCGTTCATGTTGTTGGAGATTGGGTGTTCATCGCATTCGTGGCATGCTCTCAAAAAACCCCCAAATTCTTGTGACACCACAAACAATTACCTGCCTGGAGGATTAATCTGGTAAATTGAAAGTTGTGACCTCTGATTGGACAGGAAAAGAACTAGGTTCACAATGCTTAAACAGCTGAGGAGAGACCAAGATGGGCTACCAAAGCCAAGCTTTGCTCTCGAAAGAGCTGCCCTCTCCCCACTTTTATTCTGGCTCATCTGCCTTCAAGAATAGCTTGGAGGTTCCCTCAGGCTAAGACGCTGAGCTTGTCGATCGAAAGGTCGGCAGTTCAGCGGTTCGAGTCCCTAGTGCCGCGTAACGGGGTGAGCTCCCGTTACTTTGTCCCAGCTTCTGCCAACCTAGCAGTTCGAAAGCACGTAAAAAAAATGCAAGTAGAAAAATAGGCACCACCTTTGATGGGAAGGTAACAGCATTCCATGCTCCTTTGGTGTTTAGTCATGGCGGCCACATGACCACGGAGACGTCTTCGGACAGCGCTGGCTTTTCAGCTTAGAAACGGAGATGAGCACTGCCTCCTAGAGTTGGGAACGACTAGCACATATATGCGAGGGGAACCTTTACCTTTACCTCCCTCAAATAACATTGCTCCCCCCCTTTTTTTTTGTTACAGGGAAACTCTCAGCAAGGCACCATGTTCCATGAGGTGACTCTGTGGTTGCTGGTGGGCATCCGAATCTCTGCAATAGCTGGAGGGGGCCCCGGAGGAGGTTATGGGCAGATGAAATACATGCAACCGGTGGTGAAAGGGCCCCTCGGCCCTCCGTTCCGAGAAGGTAAAGGCCAGTACGTAGGTAAGTGGCACCCAGCGGTGTGTAGGTAGGCCAAATTTGAGAGAGGACAAAAAAAGTTTGCTTTGGAAAGAAATTCAGCCTATCATCTTAACCTTGTTTAGATTGGCTTTGTGGTTTGAGATATCTTTTATGGCTTTTGCGTTTCTCGTTTGAGTGTGTCTTACAGTAAACGGCTCTGAAAAGCTTGCCAGATGCTGATGAAATGCCTTAGATATATTAATTACCTTTAAAGATGTCGGTCTGGTTTTCCCCAGCAAGATAAAGGGGAGATAAAATGATATCTTTATCTGGCCTCTGCTGTCTGATTCCCACAATCCCTTCCCTTTTACAATGGGAACCAAAGTTAACCAAGAGACAGTTTGGGGCCCAACTGTGAATTACCAAAGGACAGGAGGAAATTAGACCGGTCAGATTCATGCAGCACATTTACTGGATGAACTCTTTTCTTGGATTGCTCACTTAACAGAGTAACAGGGTTGGAAGGGATCTTGGAGGCCTTCTAGTCCAACCCCCTGCTCAAACCGGAGACCCTATGCCCGTGATGGCGAACCTATGGCATGCGTGCAACAGGTGGCATATCTGTGGGCACGTGAGCGTTGCCCTAGCTCAGCTCCAGCGCCCCCGCCAGCTGATTTTCGGATCTTCCGGAAGTCGGGAAACAGGCTGTTTCCGGCCTCCGGAGGACCTCCGGGGGGTGAGGAAGGCTGTTTTCGCCCTCCCAGGCTCCTAGAAAGGCTCTGGAGCCTGGGAGAGTGAAAAATGGGCCTTCCAGTCCCATCAGAAGTCAGGAAATGGGACATTTCCGGCCTCCGGAGGGCCTCGGGGGGCGGGTGAAGGCTGTTCTAGCCTTCCCCTAGAAAGGCTCTGGAGCCTGGGGAGGGCGAAAAATGGGCCTACTGGGCCCACTGTGCCATCGCGTGCCAAAAGCAGGGAGAGCACAGGGGGGGTCGTGCGTGCATGCGCGGTGGTGCAGGGCACATTGAATTATGCGTGATCCCCCCCCCGTGCTCTCCCTGCTTTTGGCACGCGACGGCAAAAAGGTTCGCCATCACTGCCCTATGCCATTTCAGACTTTCACCAAACGAGAATTGAAAAACGTGCCTAATTGTTGCATAAGATACTGTGCCACGAAAAAGATAGCCAAGTTTCTGCCTAACTAAGCTTTGCAAATTGCATAAACGCAGGTGCTAGGTTTTAAGTGACCTGGTTAAGGATCTCTCCCTGTGCGGGTGGTTATATCCACATACCAGGGGTGAAATGTTACAGGTTCGGGCCGGTTCAGCTGAACCGGTAGTAAAAAATGCTACTGGTTCGCTGAACCGGTAGTAAATTAAAAAAAAAAAAAAAGTTCTGAAGATCAGCTGAGCGGCACGCGATCGTCGGAAGTTTTTTTTAAAAAACTTTTTATTACTTTTTACTACCGGTTCCAGAGAACCGGTAGTAAAAAATGCTTTAAAAGGTTAAAAAAAAAAAAAAGTTTCCGACGATCACAGCGGTGGTGCACAAGCTTGGGAACCTTTTAAAAACTTTTTAAAAGCATTTTTTACTACCGGTTCCAGAGACCGGTAGTAAAAAATGCTTTTAAAAAGTTTTTAAAAAGGTTCCCAAGCTCACGTGCCACAGCTGATTCCTCCCTCCCCTGCTGTTCTACTTACCTTTCCAAGCCTCCTTTTGGTGTGTATTGCGCATGCGCGCATGCAGTGCGCAATTGGCACGCAGCGCACATGCGCAGCCATCAAACCAGTGGCAAACCGGTTCCACTGCCACATTTCACCACTGCCACATACTCTATTTATCCAGGTCAGGTAAAGATCTAAACATCCACAGAATAAGCTAAACATGGTTTAAGGTGTTGGTTCTCATCTTTAAAGCGCTCCATGGCTTAGGGCCAGGATATTTGCGAGACCGCCTGCTGCTATCAATAACCTCCCACCGGCCAATACGCTCTCACAGAGAGGGTCTCCTCAGGGTGCCGTCGGTCAGGCAATGTTGGCTGGCGGCCCCCAGGGGGAGAGCCTTCTCTGTGGGGGCACCCGCCCTGTGGAATGAGCTGCCTCCTGGAATACGACTGATCCCGGACCTCCGGACCTTCCGTAAGGCCCTGAAGACTTATTTATTTCACCAAGTCGGCCTAGCCTAAATGGTTTTGAATTGGGATTTTAAATTTTATAGACTTGGGGGTTTTAAATTGGGAAGCCAATGATTTAATTCTTTTTAATTATCTTAACTTTTGTACTGTATGTATTTTTAATTTTGGCTGTTCACCGCCTTGAGTCCCTTCTGGGAGAAGGGCGGTATACAAAATAAATAAATAAGTAAGTAAGTAAGTAAGTAAGTAAGTAAGTAAGTAAGTAAGTAAATAAATAAATAAATGGTTAGTGTTAGCCCACATTTGGCCTTTGGTTAGGTGTGGTGCAAATCCAGGAAATGGGCCACTTGCAGTAATTGGTTAAAATCTGTCTTGTGAATATAGAGATCACAAGTGTGTGTCTCTCGCTAGCAGGAATGACAAGTGTCTGGTGTGAAGTTTCCAAGAGTGATTACGTTGTTCTCCCTTGACAGTTGCCAGGCGGGGAAAAAAGTCTGGGGCATAAATGGAAATTAGAGAGATGAAGGCCTTTTTCGTGGGTATAATAAGCCAGAGGGGGGGAAAAAAACCCTCTAAACAAGTAGCGTGCAATGAGAGAACATTGTTAATTGTGTAGAATGTGGCTGCATGTTTTAAAAAAACAGGGAAAGTTTAGAAGGCATTGTGATGCTCTGAAGGATCCCCCACCCAGTTTGGATAATTCCCAGACTTTAGTCACTTTTAAATCAGAAGAAAATAAGTCAAATTGAAAATATAGCTTACCCTCTAATCTGCAAGTGGAGAATTGGTTGGCTCACAAAGGAGCTGCATTTGAGTATTAAAATACTCAGCTCTGGAGCCCAGGGACAAGTCTCAACAGTTCTGCATTTGAATAGGATTTTACAGGTTAAACATAATAGGACTGTACCAGCCAAAGACTATGCTTTTTCTCATGCAATCACGGCCTACAGACACGATTAGCTGCCTTAGACAGTAAACTCTATGGTGGCTATTCACTGCTTGCACAGGAAAATTTTGACTAGCCCAACTACCATGTTTTCTGGAATTTAGCCATTTCCCCCCTCCCTTCCCTCTTGACAATGAACTTTAGAACTTTTCATCTAAAACAATACGGTCAAGGTTGGCCATCGGATCTAACATCTGGTGGCCTTTCAAGATGGAAGGACCAAAGTTTGCCTTCACCTGTGCTGGTCTTTTTCACTCTTTCTGCTACTTCAAAGATCTTGCAGAAAGGCACTTGGTTAATTTATTGAGGAAGGAGGCATAGAGGAAAAGAACAGTTTCGTGCAAAGATGGTGATTTAAGAAGACACTTGAAAAGGTTATTGAATGCAAGCAGAGCTGATGAGGAGAGATACCTGGTTAGCAAGGTAAAGGTTTCCCTGTCCAGTTGTGTCCAACTCTAGGTCATGGTGCTTGTCTCTGTTTCTTGGCCAAGGGAGCTAGTGTTGTTCAAAGACAATTTCTGTGATCATGAAGCCACCATGACTATGCCAAAGGAGCATGGAACTCTGTAACTTTCCCACCGAAGTGGTACCTATTCATCTACTCGCATTTGAATAAAATAGTATAACAAAGTTGGAAGGGAACTTGGAGGTCTTCTAGTCCAACCCCTTACTTAGGCAGGAAATCCTATACCACTTCAGACAAATGGTTATCCAACATCTTAAAAACTTCCAGTGTTGGAGCATTCACAACTTTTGGAGGCAAGTTGTTCCACTGATTAATTGTTCTAACTGTCAGGAAATTTCTCCTTAGTTCTAAATTGCTTCTCTCCTTGATTAGTTTCCACCCATTGCTTCTTGTCTTGCCCTCAGGTGCTCTGGAGAATAGTTTGACTGCCTCTTCTTTGTGGCAGTCCCTGAGATATTGGAAGACTGCTATCATGTCTCCCCTAGTCCTTCTTTTCATTAAACTAGACATACCCAGTTCCTGCAACCATTCTTCACATGTTCACATATTTGCTTGCTTTTGAATTGCTAGGTGGGCAGGAGCTGGGGCAAGAACAGGAACTCATTCTGTTGCGTAGAGCTTGGGTCTCAAACTTGGGCTGTCAGCTCTCCAAGTTCCACTTCTTTAACCGCTGAGCCCCCTTTGATGAGGAGAGAGACTGGTTAGCAAGGTGAATCATTAGACCTGGCTTAATCTCCCAGGAACAATTTTGGCAAGAGACAATGTGCAGGTAATTGTATTGAAATGCTGGATGGGGCATTCTCATCATCTCTTTAAGATGGAAGCTGATTCATGTCATTAATTCCTCTACCTTGCGACAAAGCTGTTGATTTAAAAAAAAAAAGTAGTTTAAGTTGCTGAGCTTGAAAATAAATCCACTGTATAAGGCTTAAGTGGCATAACTTGGCACCAGAGATATGTATATTTAAGAAATAGGGTTCCTCATCCTGCAGTGAGAAAGACCTAGTCCTGGAGTCTGGGGAAGGCTCGGATGAGGGTTCTGAGTCAGAGAGGGGGCCAAGGTCATCTGGTAGTTCTTTGCTGCCTCCAGAGCAGGGGTTAAATGCTCCTGGTTTGGAGCGGATCGCTCGATCCGGTAGCGATGGCAGCGGGTGGTTCGGAGAACCGGTAGCAAAAATCCCTGCCCCCCCCATGCCCAGCTGAGCCACGTGATCATCAGAGGCCTTTTTTTCTTTTAAAAGCATTTTTTTCTACAACCTCTTCAGCTGAAAAAATGCTTTTAAAAGTAAAAAAAAAAAAAGCCTCTGATGATCCCGCAGCTCAGCTGGGATCGTCAGAGGCTTTTCAAAGCATTTTTCCTGCAACCTCTTCGGCCAAAGAAGTTGTAGAAAAAATACTTCGAAAAGTTTTTTTTAAAAAAAAGTTGGCCACGCCCACCCAGTCACATCATCCCCCACCAAGCCACGCCCACAAAACCCGTAGTAACAAATTTTACATTT